TATCAAAAGGAAGAATGATATGGTTAGGATTATAGCTTTCTCCATTTGGATATGAGCAATTGTTAAAGCCAATAATATAAATAGGGACTTGTGATTTTAGTTTAAATTGCATAAATCAGTAAACAGCAGCAATATTTGAATGGATTAAATCAGTACACACGTTAACACCCCCCTCACATGGAGGGGCCTAGGCGTCAACGTGTGTACATTGTGCATACAGGAAATACACGTGATAATTGAATAGTAAATGGGACCATCTTCCCAGTATCAATTAGACTGCCATATAAAGTTTTTTCAAGTCTTCTTCCTCTTTTAAATTTTTTCAAGTTTCTAACTTGTCTTTTTTAGTCTTTTGAGTCTTTCCTTTAACTTTTCCAAAGTGCATTTTTTCTAAACTTTCCAAGAATAACTATTCAAATTTTTCGGCCAACTGTAAAAAGTTTGGGAAGATATCACCAATAATATCAATGGAAGTTATCTGTATTTCAAATAAAGGGAAAAACTCACGCCTCAATACAATTGAGTTACTTACAAGTATTTATTCATTAATCAAACAATAACAATACTTAAAAGTACAAAACATAATTAAATAATTGCCCATATTCGATAACTAACACTTTCCAACTGCCAAACATATCGAGATTTTGAATTCAAGCAACAAGTAAGCCTGTCAAGCCCTATTACTTCTACCTGCCCGTCTCTGAATCGCAAATTTGCTACATTCCATTAAAATTATGTTTATGAGAAAGGAAGTTAGAAAAGAACAAATATAACAACAGGAAAAACAAAAATTACCAAAATAAATGGAAAAAATAAAATGTGAATATATATATATATATATATACACACACACACACACACACACACACACACATACACGAACAAAATTGAACGTTATTAGGGTTTGGAGTTAAAAATTCTTGACTCATATCAATTCCTTACAATAATTTCGTCATTGTTGAAAATCCCTTTTTTCCTCGCATCAACACTAGAATTACCACATTGTTTATGTTTATGTGAATTGAATTTAAATTCTTGAGCATCATCATTAGCTTCTTTTTATTTAATCCAAATGAATAACGTAGCAAAAAACTGGTTGTTTATTTTTCCTCCCCAGCGGTAAGGCCCACTAACTTGTATTTGAGCTTGTCAAGGAATACTTTTGCTCAGCCCCGTTTGAAC